GGTTAAAGAAAACTAAACTTGTATTCCTAGAGAAAGACGAAGTGGGTGAAATGAATAAATAGAGGCGATATAGATAAAGTTCTTATAATATCCGAGCAGGCTAGGACTCGGAGCAACGGATTTAAGTTGGATAAGTTTTAGGTTTAGGAAGAGGATATAGGAAGGAACTAACGGCTCTGATAGAATTGGTGGACGAGTGGAAAAAACAGCAACTTTGTAGTATTAAGTGCTGGAACGCTGGAGGAAGGCTTTACAAGGTGGCTAGATGATGGAATCTCATGGATGATAGAGGAAGTGGTAGAAACTCTCGACAGGGCACCCTCCTTACTGGGCCAACCGGCCTTTGCGAACTCCTTTTTCTTATCATTCTTATGTTCTTATCTCCAAAGTATTTGACGAATTATGGCCTAAGTCTTTGCTATCTAAACTTCCCTCTTTCGGTTTCTCTCCCCCACTTTGTTTTCTCATCTCTAGCTTCCTGAGAACCGATCCATGGCAGTTGTTGTCGAGGAATCGATCTCTCGCTCTTTTTCTATCAGTAGTGGTGTCCCACAGGGTTGTTCTTTCACCTACTCTCTTCCTTCTTTTTATCAATGATTTACTTCACACTACAACTAATTCTATCCATTCTTACGCTGATGATTCTACTCTACACTCTTCACATTTTCCCCTTACCTCCTAACTCTCTAACTAGATCCGTTTCTAGAACTGATATCATTACTTCTATCTATGCGGATCTGTGCAGCATCTCTGAATGGGGAGGTAAAAATTTGGTTAAGTTAAATAGTAATAAAACTCAATATTTACCAATTACACTTTGTAAATTAGACGATCTCCCACCAATTACATTTCAGGACGCATCATCTTGCCAAATGCTGATATAAATAAATTAGGCCTCACAATTTCCCCCAATCTGTCCAGGAAATCACACATCCTTAATATAGTTAAAGCTGCCTCCCGAAAGTTGGGAATGCTGTACAGATGCCGTAGCTACTTCACTCCTGAGCAGTTGCTCCAAGTATACAAGGGATTCATTCGTACTAACTTGAAGTACTGCTCTCATATCTGGGGTGGCTCTTCTTCTGTCCAACTATTAGATAGGGTAGAATCAAAGGCATTTCGTCTTATTAACTCTCCTCCTTTAGTCGACAATCTCTCTTCCCTTTCTCTTCCCCGTAATGTTGCTTCACTCTCTTTTACAGGTACTTTAACAGGCAATGTTCGGTGGATTTGACATCCTGTGTACCACCAGCAAGGCCGTGGGCTCATAATACACGTCTTGCCCATGGTGCCCACCGTTTCTCTGTGGATGTCGATCACACGAGAATAACCGGTTATTATATCCTTCCAGCATCTTCGTGGTGTAGTAACACCTCCATCGCTTTCTCTATTTCAATTTCTTTTTGTTATTTTTTTGTCCCTCAAGCGCCGTTGTGGGTCGTTTGACCTGTGCCCGGGTGGGCTAATTCCATAAAAATAAAAAATAAAAATAAATATATATATATAAATATATATATATATATATATATATATATATATATATATATATATATATATATATATATATATATAATATATATATATATATATATATATATATATATATATATATATATATATATATATATATATATATATATATATATATATATATATATATATATATATATATATATATATAGATATATATATATATATATCATTAGCCCAATAAAGCACGGACTTCTACATACAATCAATCAACCCTGCCAGGTTTGGTACGTGTACTCTGACCACCTAGGTGGTCACATGAATGCGATACAGTTTGAACAGGCTTTGTGTGAAAATATATAAAGTCTAGGATTGCTTTTAGTATTCTGGTGGTCCAGCGGTTAGCGTTCCCCGTCACAGTCATAGGCTTGTGGGCAGTGGGTTCGAATCCTGGCGGGTTGAGGTGTTGTTTATATATATATATATATATATATATATATATATAAATAATAAGAAATTTCAAAGCAATTTCAAATGCCGCGCCATTGGAGATACTGAGTTTCAAGGTCGTCTGAGGGAAGACAGTGCTCCCCACGTAGTGAGAGTTTCTAGAACTAGGCCTATACGATATTAAATGTAATTTACCGAATTAATATGGGCGTGAAATTTGATATCAGTTATTAAATTAAAAGTAATTATAGATCGTTTCCTAGTCTGAAAATGTTGAGTACGTCCTAATTAATCTGTTAATCGCCTGGGAAATAAGTCACTCCTTGAAAGCGTGGATGGGTGAGAAAGCCTGGCTTGGAGAGTTGGGAGAGAGGTCAAGCTAGCAGGACCATCTCTGCTCTGTAACCAGGAGGGACGTCCATGTGAACTGGTTTCCTTCGTTTATTCAATATCAGTATTAACAAGTAAGTTTTATTCAATTTCTCAGAGCTTAGATAGGGCGGTAGGAACAAACAATGAGTGAGTACAATAGCTAACAGAGGGTTTTACAGGGACTCTATAGACCTCACTGAAGCGGGCGGTATCAGCCTAGCGGTGGAAGCGGTATGAAGCGTCCCCAAACTAGTGTATGAACGTCCACTGACCTGAGTTTGAGCCACGCTGTTGAGTATGGTGAGAGTTGGAGTGAAACCAGCTGTCTGGGTGCCCAACTAACGACGTGACGATCGTTTGGGGTCATCAGCTTTCCTCTACCTCGGCTCACAATATCACATATCTTCAAGCAGTTTAGTGAAAATCTTTTACTAATGGGAAGCTAAAGCTTCTCTCAACTGTACAAGGTCGTAGTTGCTCCTCCCTTCCGTTCATGGATGTACTGGGGGTAAAGTGAAGCCAGCTGATTGAATAAGGGCCACACAATGGGGCCAGAAGTCTAGTGGAACTTAGAGGTACATTTTCCAAGGTTGAGAAAAGACTGGTTTGGGCCTTAAACTACGGGTTGCCTGTTGGTTTTGCCTTAAAAACTCTGAAGTGCAGGTGGAATCTATGTGTTAGGTTAGGAAGCATGGTTCACGGGTATTGGTGGACTCAGTAACTTCTTAATAATAGTGATAATATTTTTATGTGTAGTTAATACTATTTTTTCAGTTACTGATGTTGTCTTGCTGTGTGTAGTTAATTTTTCTTAAATAATTTTGATAGTATTGTTTTTTAATGTTTGTGTCACTAATTGAAACCAGAGAATGAGGGAACTGTTTTTCAGATGCGTTTTCTCCCTTCTGTTGTAAGTGATACTGTGATTTAGTTCCTTTAATGCATTTAATATTTCTTTATAATTTCAATCTCAGGTATCACCTTTGTTCCCCAGAGTAGTGTTTAAGTTAGGTTAGGAGGTGTGCATCTGTTGGGGTAATATTATTTTATTGAGTGCCCTTTGGGCTATTCATGGTGGATTAATAATTTCTTATTTTATTCCATTCCCTCAGTGGTTGATATTATTTTGTTGAGAGCCGTTAAGGCCTGTTTCATGTGTTCAAGCAACACTTCTTAGTACTTTGAATTTATTGTTGTCTAATGAGGCATTGTCTGAGTTTCTAATAATTGCAATATCATGTATAACTTTTATTCCCCAGAGTTTTGTTTTAAGTTCAGGTTAAGAGGTGCTCATATGTTGGTGTACCATTATTTGATTGTGTCTGTAGTGTTGGAGGGAATATAAGTTTTTAAATTTTACAGTGTGTCTCATTCATCCCAATCACAGATGCTATCCTTCCATGGGTCACGGAGAATTCAATTTGTTAGTAAATTTAAGTGTTCTTGTGCTGGTTCTGGCTTTCTCCAAGGGGCGCTTCCACTGCAGTTACCATCTAATAATAATTAATAAACCCCTAGTCAAGTGAGAAATTAATTCCATCATTTCCGACCGGTTACATATATATATATATATATATATATATATATATATATATATATATATATATATATATATATATATATATATATATATATATATATATATATATATATATATATATATATATATAGCATTAAGAAATATCCTAAATCCTTGTATGCTTACTCCAGGAGGAAAATGAAAACCAAAGACACTGTCGGCTCTCTAAAGGACGAAAACAACGTGGCCCTGGAGGATGACAGACAGGCAGCTGACACCTTAAATGAATACTTTGTATCAGTGTTCACACAAGAGACGTTATATAACATGCCAGTACCTAAGAGAATGCATACCTCAAGGGTGAAAAATAAAATAATAAGAGTACCTACAGACGATATCATCAAAAGAAAAAGTATCCAGCTTGAGATAATTCAAACCCCTATGGGTGGATGTAGCACAGACCAAGGTGATAAAGGATGTGGCAAACTAAATTTGCACTCCACTAAGACTCTTATTCAAGAAATCCTTGAATCTAGGTAAAACGCCTAAGGACTGGAAATCAGCCAACGTTACCCTAGTATGCAAGAAAGGCAGACAAAGTGCAGCACAAAACTTCAGGCCATCAGTCGAACATCACATATATGCAAACTCTGAAAAAATTCTGAGGGACGCCATCATCCAAAACCTGACCGAGCACAGTCTTACCAATGCATCACAACACGGTGTCATGGAAAGAAAATCCTGCCAAACAAGCTTACTTACATTCCTTGAAACGATAACAGAGTACGTGGACCAAGGCTAACCAGTAGATGCTTTGCACATGGATTTTTCCAAGGCTTTTGACAAAGTCCATGCCCGACGAACCTCTAAGATCCACGCACTTGGTATCACAGGCAATAATTTAAAATGGATTAACAACTGGCTCGAAGACAGGCAACAAAAAGTGGTAATAAATTGAGTACATTCTAAATGGTAAAAGGTTCTTTGTAGAGTACCACAAGGCTCTATCCTTGGACCCACCTGTTTATGATCTACATAAACGACATCGATGAATATAATTTTAATCTTCGGACAAAACCGCAGCGACTTACACACACACACACACACACACACACACACACACACACACACACACATACACACACACACACACACACACACACACACACACATATATATGTAAACCTACACCACTGTGCTGTTGATAGGTTTTCCGGTTCCAACCCACTGCCATGCATTTGATGAGTATTTGGCGCCGACCCACATGTAGGCATACTGACCAATGTCTCCTACCTCCGCCACGGCCAGGCTCAACCACTCCTTTAATAAAAAATTATCATTACAAATTGTTTATCATAGAGTACAACTTTCTATATACTGAATTGCACATAAAGTATTCAATTGTTACAGAAATTACAGCAATAAGTACAATTTTTTTACTGACACTACTAAGATTCATGATGATGAAAAAGAGGATGAATGAAAAGTGCCACAGGAACATGAACATTTGTCAAATAAAACTGAACAAGAGTTTCAAAGGAATGACTGACCTTCAACACACAAGAAGGCTGGGACTGCACCCGATCGCTTTCACTTCTCTATTTAATAAATTTACAATTGCGTGAACTGGCGAAGCCATGGAGGCCATGGAGGGTGAACTGGGGAGGCCATGAAGAGTGAACTGGGGAAGCTATGAAATGTGAACTGGGAGGCCATGAGAGGTGAACTAGGGAGACCATGGAGAATGAACTGGCGAAGCCATGGAGAGTGAACTGGGGAAGCCATTATACTCTTATATCTACTTTTTTATACTTATTTCCTCTTTACAACATTTCTACCCAAAAACTATAACTTCCTGTTCCTTCCTCTAGCATTACAATTCTCTAAGCTCAATATTTCACTCAAATATTAAAAAATCCATGCGTTCTACTAACGCATACCTGATATACACTCTTGTACACCATAGAATGGTGAACCATACCTCCCAACACACTGCCATACAGTATGTACCAGTGAACTCATATTCTTAACCCTAAGACGAACGACCCACCCATACTCCAGACAATATCTGACCGTTGATTCCTTCACTTTGACAGAAATATTAATTTAAACACTAGATATACTAAGACTTCTCTCACTCCCTAGGTACAGTACGTTCATGTGGAGGCAATTGTACATCCATGTTTTTAGAAATCCTGCATTATGGCCAACAGTTAATACCTCCTACCTGTGGACCGACAAATTCCACAATACTGCACTATAATACGTTTTTCTAAGCCTGTAAAGTCTGTGCACACACATCTGCCACACATTATTTTCCCTCTTTGCCTTCTAACACCAGTCAATTTACCATCAATTTTGCATTTTAATTGAAGTCATTGTTTCTTTAATGTCAGTGATTTTTTCCTTTTTCTTTTTTGTCTCAAAAATTTTTTTTTTTTTTTAACAATTAATACACCACTCCTAAAATACTAACCATATTTACCTTAATAGTTTTCTCACCCTTTCTCACCCTTTTATTCCACGGTTCATCTTCTCCCTTCACTGCAGTAAGTGAACTGCCCTTCATGAAAACAATTCAAGGATGATGTAATACACTGTATAGTATATACCAGGAATCGCATACATCATAGTGCTAAATTAAGGAAATGGAAGCACAAGTATTTGAGAGTCAAGAGTGATGTTTCAAATGTAGCACGTGTCGAGGCCATCATGATTCCCCTGACGTTTATGTTAAACCTTGGATTGTCAGAATGTAAAGGCTATTGTCTTTTTCTAATATGAAATAACCAATACTGCAGATGTTCGGGAATTACTTGGTTCTAACTACAGGAGCGAATATAAACACCTATAGAGTTCTGTAGGTTCTTATTAACGGAAATATACAGGAGTGCGCTCACAAGCGCAGGTAGTCCTTACACTCCTATAGGGGTCAACTGACCTCACTCTGACCTCTCAGGCGACATGTGGTAAGTGGTACATTAGCAGCTTCCAGATGTCGCCAGGCACATTTATCTAAGCGTGTGGTGACATGAAACAGGGGCATTGCCACACGCTACTGACTAGAGAAATAATGTGTATATATAGAGTACATGCATGGTATACATACAACATACATAATATACATACACCTCCCCTCCACCTATACGCTCATAGCAAAGTCTTGAGCGGACCTTTTCCTGTGGATCCGTTCTGAGTGCCGAGGGGCTTAATCACTGGGAGGGGATATGGGACTCAGCACTGGTGACGGGGTCAGCGGAATGCGTTACAGGGCGGAGGAAGAGGCGGTTTCTCCACCACACCCAACCACTGGGTAACCGCACCTGGTAGTCCCGTGACCTGCCGAGACCCACTTTGCCCCAACGTAGGGAGGTCGGGTCCTGGACACGGACTTGGGTGCCGACACTCAACCTGGGCAGAGGTCGGGCCTGGTCGTTGTGGCGGGCGACGACGTCTTGAATACGTTCGGCGGGTCAGCGATCAAAATCCTCTGTCTTGGCCTGCCACTCCTTGGAGAAGGATTGAGGGTGAGCAGGGACACAAGAACGGAGGGGGCGTCCATACATGACCTGGGCAGGGGAGCGTCTGGTATAATTGGGTGTGTTGCGGAGCTCAAGGGGACCATGTTCGAAGGCCTCGCAGTCAATATTCCCAGAAGGGGCCACTTTGAGGATGAGGTGCTTCAGGGATTTGACAGCAGCCTTAGCGTGGCAGTTGGACTGCCGGTAATGAGGCGGTGACAACACATGCCGGTCTCCCCATCGGTCGAGGAACGCAGCAAAGTCCCGGCTTGTGAATTGGGGCCCTCCGTTGGTTCGCAGGCGCACAGGAAGGCCTACGTAACGGAAGTGGCGGAACTTGCTGATGGTGGCGGCAGACGTCGTGTCCTTACCGCACTTGATGACAACCGGCCAACCAGAGAGACGGCCGACGATAACCAGGAAGGACTCTCCTGACACACAGAAGGAGTCGGCCGACACAGACTTAAAGGGACGGGTGGCGTTGTCGTCACTCATGAAGGTTTCCTGTTGCTGGCTGGGTTGTAGTACTTGGCGGGGCTTACATGCCTGGACAGCATTGGAGATGTCGGGGTCGATGCCAGGCCGGAACACAGTCTGTTTAGCACGCCGTTTGGTGGCCTCGGCTCCACGGTGACTGTTGTGGAGGCGAGCTAAGGCATGGGGACGTGAGGCCTTAGGGACAATTACCGTGCTCCATTACAGAACAAGGTCCCCGTCGCAGTAGGTTCATTAAGCAGAGTTAGGGTTTCCAATGCGGGAGCAGAAGGGTGTTGTGAAGATTTGTAGTGGTTGCTAGGAATCCGTTCCTCATGCACTTTCGGCGAGCGGACGTGGAAGGGTCATCTAGAGGGGCACTATTCGAAGATTCTCCATTGGTTTGTGTCATCTGGTGACGGAGTCCGAACGAAGAGAGAGTTGGACAGCGTGTAGGGTGACCACTGTCCTGACGGAAAAAGGCGAGGTGCGTCGAGTACCTGTTCTTCTGGAGTAGGGCGGCTGTCAGGAGAGCAGGATAAGGCATCAGGATGCAGGCTCGCCTGTACGCCCGCGCTGCTGGCAAGATGTCGCCGAGAGCTTCTCCTTCCAGACACTGGAGGCGAGGGTTCTCAACGGCGTCCAAGCGTGTAGTGGTTGAGGATCGGGGCGGCGGGCGATGGTCGGTCACTAGGTAAAGATGTTGCAGGCCTATAAGGTAAAACCTGCGCTTGGACGTCGCCCAAACCTGGCCAGCTCCAGCTCAATAGTGGTATAAGCGTTTCGGTCTCAGAGGAAACGCGAGCCACGCCTGGACGAGCTGAAACTGCCTCACCATGATCCTGCAGTAGGGCGTATCCCACGCCATACAAAGCGTGAGGCATCTGTCTGCAGAACCGTCGGCAGGGCTGGGTCAAACGTAGTGAGGACAGGTGGACTAGACAGAGCCTGTTTCACTTGCTGGAAGACCTTGTCGTGGTCGGGGAGTCCACAGGAATGTCTATTGGGGCTCATAATGGGGCAGAATGGTTGGGCTGACTGCGAGGGATGTCCGGCGAAAACTCTGCTAACTGGTTGACGAGACCATGAAGGACCTCAGAGTGGGTGAGGTTGGCAGGGTGGGCAAATCCGTGATAGCGCGAGGACCTTGTTCAGGTCAGCTACAATACCATTCTCTGAGAGATTGTACCCACAAGTCCACTGAAGAGCGGCCAGGCAAGCTTGTGACGGTATTCTGCCGTGCTTCCGGCACCTGTTGAGTACCCTCGTAGATACGACCCGAGGTGATCCGTGTCGTCCTGCGTCGTACCTGAGTATGTCGTCGACCACTTTCACGCAATTTGCCAGACCTTGTAGAGCCATATAAGCCTCGAAGGCAGAGGCATCTCGCGGTTTGTAGCTGTAGCGGCCTGGGTGCATGAAAGTTGTGGTGGTGGTCGCCTAGCCGGCGAGCTCTATCTGCCAGTATCCACACAGAGCGTCCGTCGTTCTAGCGAAGGCCTTCGGGGGTCACACTGTGGATAATAGCTGCAAAGGGCGTGGAGAAAGTGCGGGGACGAGACACCTGGCTGCTGAGCTTGGAGAAGGTCAGTGGCGATCCGAACACCGCACGGTTTGCGACGAGCTATAGGGTGACACCATGGAGACCAGGTCATCACGGCTGGTGCAATGATTTCTTGACCCGCTAGAGTCCAGCTCGTTTTGTGCCTCATGGAAGGCCAGGGGACCAGTCGAGGGGTGGGTAAGCGAAGGGCCAGCGTCGTCCCTCAAGTGGATCCTCATGGGGGGCCTACCATCTTCTTGAGGGGCTTGGATTCCAGAGCGGACTTGGTCACCAGAACGTCCTTCTTGAATTCCTTCAGGAAGTACTTCCGAGCTTCGAAGGGAGGGTTGTCGCACTGGTAGAGGTAGGGGTAAGGCTACAGCAGGGTGGTGCCGCCGCTGGCACCCCTGTTGGCGTGTATTACCTCGAGAGTGGTTTGAAGCCCTGGGAGATGATGGCCAACTCTTGGCAATGTCTGTAGGACAGCAAAAGGAGTTTGAGGACACCATTATACACATCAATCCAGGCTTGACCGCGACCTGTTGCCAAGGTGATCTGTGTGCTTAGGTGAACCTAGGGCAGGGGCCATCATGAGAGCCATCTGCCATGAAGCGGTGTGGGAGGCGGTCCTAGATTGTGGAGAGAGAGCCCCAAACATTGCAATGCTGGGGGCCGGTGACCTCACGTAAAGCGCATGTGTCGGGCGGCATCTCAAGACTGGATGACACACACTGCCGTAGGTCACGATGACGCTGATGTGCTGCGGAACTTTGGTCCTGGAA